CTTCGTTCCAGATACTGCAGCAGGTTAAACTCCAATTTATATGACAGGATCGTTTCAGCAAACGATTCAGGTCTTTTGGTACGAGTGTAGTATTGACACGCTTTATACCTAATACATTAACCGATCTTGAGATCCTCTGCTATTTCTCTGACGTCAACACGACGATTTTCAAGTACAGTTTCTTTTACCTTTTTGATTTTATCCTCATTAACAGATTTGGGGAAAGACTACTCCTATGTGTTTTAGAACTTTATTGAATATTTGCTGCCACCCAAATAGGTGCTTTTCAAGTCAACTTCTCAACACAAAATTTCAGCAAGCTGGTTGTTTAGTTTTTTTCATAGTAAAAATAGCCAGAGCCTTCGGGAAGTTTGCGGTAATAGTGTATGCGATACCTCTTTATTGATTCGGGGTAGTCGCAATCGAGTTTAAGCGAGTTAGAGCTGTGTTCGATCCGGATAAGGTTTTAATGAAAGTCTCTCTCGTTTTTATATTTTATAAAATTGAATATTATACAATCTTATATATATGATAAGATTGTATAATTGTATTAATGAAACATTTTTAACCAGAATTCAGAGTTTTCATATGATGAGTACAGTTATTACTAATTTGAGTGTGTACTGTTTGGATGTGAGATTGTTATTCGATTTTCTAAAAAAGTTTTGATTGTTGTTGTTTTTTTAACGGTCCCTTTTAGGATGGTAGAGCTTAGATAAGTTGTCATCGAAGACATCTAATGGTAGGCCAAGGAAACTTGCTGTTTCGACGAGGCCATAGGGAGAGGGGTGTCAGATGTGTGGAGTTAGCCAAGCATGCAAGGGAGTGGTTAGAGTCATGCGGGGACTCGTTGCATATTGGACATATGTTTTATATGACAGGATACCAAAGGACCTGAATCGTTTGCTAAAACGAAGTCAAAAGAGATATTTTACAACGTAGCTGAAGACCTTACATACATCGAACATTACTGGCGATGAGATTTGGGTTTATGAATACGGCATTGAAACTGTCCAACAATCTAACATGATGCTCCAAAAATGAGCCGAAACCAAAAAACCAAAACGTCAAAGTTGGTCAAAACTCAAAGTGATGATCAGCGCTTACTTCGATAACCGAGTTTGTTCCGGGTCAAACGGTCAATAAGAAATACTACATGGCTGGTTTGAGGCATCTACGTGAAGCAATTCATTTTAAAAACCGGATTTGTGGGCAGGAAATTTATGTATTCTTCAACACGATAATGCGGTGATAGATTTTAAGGTCTTGATTGTCAAACCAGAAATAAGAGTCATCGTTGAGCCACCATATTTGCCAGATTTGGTTCCGCTTCGGAGAATTAGTCATGAGTATGAAAACCATTTACTGTAGATAATGCATACCATCCGAAACTAGGCTAGTAACAAGTGTATGGGACGTGGGATTAAACGTTGGTATCAAGTATATGTGTTTGAAGGGAGGCTATTTTTGAGGTGATGATAAATAATAATATGAAAATACGCAAAAATGATATTTTTTGTCATTTTGTGATTTATTTTGTAGAAATCTGTAAAATTTTTAACAGTTTCGTCCCAACTCGCGTATTTCGAGTTGAAATTAAAAAATAATTTATCGAAAGAGCCAAACAATTTATTAGGGAAGAATTATAAAAAAAAAATGTGTGTTAATATTTATAATCATAACTCTTATAGTACAAAATTTAGATGTTACTTCTAAGTCAAACTTCTCAAGCGATCATTTTTGATTTTTCGTTATTCCAATTAACATTTGATCCACGAAAACAGCCTTTTAAATAGTCGTCAGTGCATCCTTGCATTTCTTGCTGAATTCCAACACAGTGTTGCACTCTTCTGTCTTAGCCCAACGATCGGCAGGACAGTTGTGGAAGAACTCACGTATTACGCAGGCCAGAATAACGGCCGGTTTGGGATCACAGAACTCAGCGTTAGCTTGGCGGAAGATTGGATTGGATAGAAATTTCGCAGTATTTTCGACGGCTACGACGTGGAAACAACAATATATGAATGAAGCATTTTCTTTTTTTCAAGACTACCCTACATTCGACTTACATTTGCCATGACAATGATCAAATGCATTAATCATTTCCTTTGCATACTCTGGGTCTGCTTTGGATTTGTTCTCGAAGTGCGCGCGTACCGCAGTCATATCCAAATCGTTGCCTTTCATGAATTCTAGTTTATTGAAGACACATTTGCCAAAGCACGTGCCCGTTATAGCGTGGTCAACCGTTATATCGACCATTGCCTCCTCATCGTGTTTGATGAATTTGAAGCCTGTCTCCTTGGCGCATGAGTCCACGACCCCCTGATAGCCATCGGGATGTTTGCAGCAATAGTGTATGCGATCCTCCTTAATTGACTCGGGATTGTCGCAATCGATTTTAAGCGACTTGCTGAGCTATGTTTGATTCGAGAGCATAGTTTAGTGAGTTTTGAAGAAATTTTTTGTTATAAATTATATAATAAGATTTAATATTACCTTCAATACCAAACTGACGGACAATATTATCAAAACGAAGTTCTTCATAGCGCAGTTCAGCGGAAACTAGATATGTCACAATAACTCTTGCACTCGGTGTTTGCCGTTGTTTCGTGAAATTTTTAATTTTTATAGTCGGCAGTTTCCATTTGTTTATACGATTTACGATTTAAATCAAGCAATGCTAAATTTAGCGGAACTTATTTAATTGCAAATAATTTAATTTAAGTATCTAGACTAATGGCGAACAAAATGTGTAATGACTGGCACAAGTAGACAATTTATGAAATTTTATTTTGCAGTGTTTTAGTTTTGTATTATTACACATATATTGTATTGTATAGTGTATTATACCCAACTTATTAAAATTATGTATATTAGATAAGTTTTCTATAAGATAAGTTAGGTTATACTGGCCGGATGCCACGGTATAAATAGACTTCCTGGTTCTGGGTGATGACAGATGGATATTGAGTTTAAGTATCGTCGTTACTTTTGCACATCCGGATAGTATGTGATGCCAGTATGTTGTGACCTGTCATTAGATGAACAACCTTCCTGCAGTCCTTTTGAGACCGTTCAAGTGAAAAGCATGTGTTTTTCTTCGATACTTTGATCTGGACTATTCCGCAGGTCCTTAAGTTATTCCATCTTTCGCTGATCCGTCTGTCAGCCCTTTCGCAAATTTCAATGCATATCACTTTAAGTGACTTACGCATTTTCTATAATGTTTCGGAAGCCAGATGGATGACAATTTTGGCAATCTCATCAGCTATTTCGTTTCTCGGAATTGCTTTGCGACCTGGAACCTAGTATTTATGCAGCCGCTGCTTTCCTGCTCTTAAGAATATATTCTCTGACATAATGAGATGTGATAATATTGTCTTAGTTGTCGCTTGGCTATCGACGTATTACATATATACCTTTTTTATGTTTACTGCTGACCGTAAAGACTTCTGCCTGCTATTTCAGAAGCTGGAAGGGTCTACTGAGATCCAACTCCGAATAATGGATTCTGGCTCCCACTACATTAACCATTTTTGATCCCTCTGCATAGTTCCCCTCCCCACCTTATTGAGCTATTTCTGAAGGTTCTTACTAGAAACTAGATCATACAGCTATGATCTATCGCAGCGGAATTACCGAAAGAACTGGAATTCTACATGAAATTAAAAATCAGTTGACTAACTTTCGTCTTCACAGCTTGTACCAGAAATAAGATCATAAAGTTAAAGTAAAACTGTTGGTGTTTGTGGAAACGACAGTTAGTCTATAGATTTTTGGGATGCGTGCTTCAGAATTTCCCAGATTTAAATTTGGACTTTCGCTGCTCGAGCTTTTTCTCCTTGATAACTTGATGGCTGGTATAGTTGCTTCAAATTCTAGCTGAAAGATTTTATGCGAAGCTGGCTTTATGACAGGAGAACATTCACGCATTTAAAATTACTTGCAGAGCCTTGAAATTTGTTATTGTTTAGGAATTCAATCAAGTTACAAAAGTCAGAAATTTCGTTCATCGAAATTATTTTGAGGTTTTATAACTTCTTTTTGCCTCTTTCACATCTGAGGATCTTGACTGCTTTGATTTTTTTTAGATATTCATCTTACTTGAAACTTGATTTCTTCTGGAGTTGATTTTATTGGACCCTTCCATCTTCGGTAATGACAATCATTTTGTCAGACTCTCCTCTATTGCACGGCTTTTGCCAGATTGAGATTGAAATATCTTGTCAGACACACTTTCAGAGAACTTACAGAAGTGGCTGGGAATGCCATTCATTGCTATGAGTTGATGCGCTTTCAGGAGTTTTTTGGCTAACACAAAGAACAGACATGCTTCCAAGTGAGAACCATTGATTTTGGATCAACTCTATGACCTAACCGAACACAATCTGTCATATATAGTATTTCTTAAAATTTCGTGGACCTATGAAATTTTTATAAAAGGGATTTTTGACAGTACTCTAAGGTTCTGACCAGGTTCGGTGAAAATATAAGTAATATGCAATATATATTTCTTTTTATTCCATAAAAAAGAAAAGGAGATAGCAAACGCATATCCGATAGGCTTGAAATAATTAAAGAAATGGATTACTTCGTAGACGGGTTCATCCGTAAACTTTAATAGCTGGTAACTATTTTATATACATATTTTGGCAATTTTCTCAACATCATTTTAAATAATTTGGTAAAGCGGACTAATAATTTTGTACATAGCTTTTGTTATGAGTAATGCTTTTTATTATTATATTTTATATAAGCAATCGAATTTTTATTCCAAAAATAGAAAAAATGCTAAATGAGTTAAAAATTTCAAAAAAGTCATTGTTTTAATTAAGATTTCATCGATTTCATTAATGGATCAATTAAATTAGTAATTAAATTGACAGCAATTGCTGAATGCACATTCAAAGGTCATTACCAGCAAAGGCAAAAAAATTAAATTTAGCTAAAAACAGTATATATTTTAGCAGAAAAGAGTACTACGGACACAGTGGTGCATGCAGTGTCCGAGCACCATAACGGAAGATACTAAACTATGCAGCCAAGTGAGATTTTGTGCCTTGTGTTATGTATGAAGGTGCGCAAATATAGTTGACTTTAAACATTACTGTTTTATTGCTTCAGTGTTTTATTCAGCAGCTTGTCAGAGCATTTGCAGACACGGCTGTCAGCGATGCTGGCACATTGGATACGAAAAAGTGTAGCAACGCGGTAACGCTTTTGAATATTAGAACTCATTTCTGATAGACATAATATTTATGATATCTTTTTGAATTTTTTGTGTTAATTTTTCGCTAAATTTGGCACAATGATCAACAGCGCAAAGGCTGCTGCGATAATTTACATATAATCTTCGATGAGGTAACCGCGAAATGTGTGCTGCTACACAAGGACAAAATTCCGGCGGAGGACGAGAAAAGCCCCACTAAATTGATTGGCTTTTTATCAGTAAATAATTGAATACACTTTTCCAAAAAACAATTAAATTATTTTTTTGTGAGTGCTGTCATAGTGTTTAGTCGAGTGCATTTATAAAAGCCGCAATTATTTGACCAAAGACGGCGAGGATATTAATATGCAAGCAGTGAAGAACAATGTCGCCATTACTTATGCGGATCGTCCCAAGGAGCAGCAATATTATATTGAAATGTACGATTATTGTCGTAAAGATGGTGAGTAAAGAAAATGTTTTCAAGTGAGCGGCAATAAGTTTTTTTTTTTAATTTTTATTTATTTTTAATTTTATTTTATTATTATTATTATTTTTTTTATATCTTTCGCTTAAGAAAATTCTTTCCTTTACTTTTTTTTGTTTAATAAAAAACCATTACAACTTTTTCTTTCAGCTGCAAAGATTTATGGACAACTGAAGGGTAATCCCGGCAGTAAGCTTCTCTTTAAGAAAGCTTGCAAACCTTATTACACTTTCGTCTATTTGTGCCAAGCTGAGTATCATAAGAAGACAGCGTGCCCGTACTTTATGTGGGAAGATGACGAAAAAACACCAGCCAAGCAACGATGTAAATCAGCAAAAGAACAATGTTATAAGATCGATGGTTTAACAGCACCTCAGGAATATAACTTCCACTCTTAACTCTCCCGTGTTATTTCAGCGTTCTCGTCATACGTCAATTGAGGAGAATAATTTTACGCCCTTAAAATGCCTATTAAAGAGAAAAGTTATTGTTGCTCTCGTAAAAATTCCAATAAAGAGAGAATATTATATTGGTTTTTTAATTTTCGTGAAATATTTAGAAGCCTAAATATCGAGTAGTGCTTCTTCAACAGATTTTTTTTTTTTTTATTTCTGAGCTAAGATAGGTAGCGATGCTACAGTCGAGTAATACGAATGTTTGAAATAAACATCTTTCTGAAAATTTGTATTGGGATTTTTGACAAAATTTTCAGGTTGTTCACAATGACCTTCAACTGCTTTTATCATCTTCCGCAGAACAAAAAAATACATTTACTTCACTTCTAACTAAAAAATCTACTTTCTCAGTAAGAAGTAGAAAATTGGGGATAATTGCATCGTTATAACTTTTTTTTGTAAGTAGACGGTCATTCCTTGGAATACTCAAGGTTCATTGTAATGCCTCTAGAAATCGTTTTTTTGCAATAAATTGTAAATTTAGCATAATCAGAATAACCCGATTTAAGTCAAAGGCGCATCATGTCCGATAATTTGTTGTGATTTTAGAACTGCATTTTTTTGATACAACAGATTCGTATTAAGAGTTTGGTCGTAAAGGAGCATAGAGCATAAAATACCATTGTTTATCTCCTGGGCAATGGAAACAATAAATGCTGCACAATGCCTTCCAAATCAAAATTATCGGCACAGAATGGACGAAACCTTACGAGTCAATGGCTTTTAAGGTATTAGGACTATAAAAAAATACATTTTAAATTACCTGGCTTGTATTTTTAGTTTTATTTAAGAAGAGCTGAAAAATATGGCACATTTTCCCTATGCCGTTGTCCATTTTTAATGCATTCTCTAGCAATACTAAGCCAGCCAATATCAAAACTGTCTGAAAAGATTTTGAGTATTAACCTTATCTTTCTAACGCCATATATAGAGTGTAAAGAACGCACTTACACAACTTGAGATTTATACAGGTTTTCAATAAGAGCGCAAAAAATTTTTTTTAGTAAAACGAAAACGGTTTGGGATACCAATTAAACTCTTTATTCCGATGATATATTTGATGCTTTTATGTATAGAAATCGATATCTTTGGTATGGCCAGCATGGACCCGATTGCAGAAGTCTAGACGTTAAACTCAATTTTCGACGGTTTTCAAGCATAAATCCCCTGACACTGCTGCAATTTCACTTTCGATATTCGTACGAAGTTCATCAATAGACGTCCACCATACTTGGTTCTCAATAAATCGATGGTGACATTCGCTCCAAGTCCATATCATCCAAGCGATAGCGACTCTCATTTACAGTAACTCGCAGGTCTTGATCTTGCAGTTTTTTCGTGATGCAATGGTGACTCATGAAGTATTATTGTTTGACCAATAATGCCTATTTTGCTTATTGACGTAGTCATTCAGCCAGAATGAATATCATCGTTGAAGATGATTTTTCAATGAAAATCCGAATCTTTTTCAAGTTGTTGCTCAGCCCACTTCACGAACATACGCCGATTCTGGTGGTCAAGCAGTTTCAGTTCTTGCGTCGATTCGATGTAGGCTGAGATCTTTTTACAAAATTCGCCACAACGATGCGAGGGACTGATTTGGGTCTTCCTCAATTGATGCGCTAGCGGTAGTAATATTCTCGACCCTACGGTGAATGTCTAAAGGGCGAGAAAAAATATGGCGTCGTCTACTTTTGAGGAGTCCTTATTCAAAACCTCTTATATTATATATTCACTTATAGCGTCAGTAGGGCAATATGTCCTGTTTTTTTGACATTTTTTTTATAGAAATTTTTATTCTACAAATCAAGAGGTATATCGTGTATAGATTAGGTATAAACAAATTTTTTCGGACTTTCTTTGATCACATCTGAAATGGCTGGGTGAATGAGATGCGTTTTTAACTGGCGGGCACGATGTCTCATGTGTGGATCATCTGAAACACAAAATCACAATTTATTCTTAAAAAGCACATGAATGATTATCGTCCCTACTAGAATCATTAAAAAATGTTAATAAAAGTAGTTAACGTTTTCTTTTTTTTTTAAATTTTCATCCATGTGTTTTTACATAAATTTTCTCATAACATTGTCAATATATTATAAAAAATGTTTGGACAATAGCCAGGCGTTTTGTGAACATTCCAGAAAAAAAAAAAAAAAAAAAAAAAAAAAAAAAAAAAAAAAAAAAAAAAAAAAAAAAAAAAAAAAAAAAAAAAAAAAAAAAAAAAAAAAAAATTAAGGGAATAGGCTGAGTAGTTCGACAAGAATTATGTTCGGCAGAGTGTTTTGAGAAAAAACCCGTTTAAAGTTTGAGGTGTGTGAAAAAAAAAATGTTTTTTCCATTACTGACCTCTTATCCCAAAATAATGAAATTCGAGATTAGAATAGACATTATGATTTCCAAATAAAAAGTAATACTATTTAAGCATCTAAAACAAATCATTTCATTAGTTAACTTATACTCACAACTTATTTTGTAAAGAACCAAAAGTAACTACATACCAAATATATGTATGTGTATATCGTATCGTATCGATATACGATTCAAAAAAATCACTTTAATAATTCAATTAAAAATACAAAACGACATGCGAAGTCATACATGAAAGCAGTGAAATGGCGATTACCTTTTCGTTGTTATTGTTCTGAGAATTTGTAGCGACATACATAAATATGCTACATACGAGCAGGAAATGCCTATAAACCGGCTAGTTAGCAACCAACGATTACCGCTTTGCACGATACAGCGAAAATCTTACATGAAAACAGATGAGCATATGTATAAGCCTATACATGGTTTGATTTATAAATATATACAGTTATTTGCACATAAAACTCTTTAACTACGAGCAGCAGGACTTCGACCTTTTTCTGCTTTACAAATAGCGCAACAAACAATATGATTCAAGCACATGCCACTTTATGTGCGCATATTTAAATGTTTGGAGCGTCGCCCTACACGGCGTATGAGCAATGTGCTCTGCATTGACAAAGGACACAGTGCCGGCATTCCGCTGTTGGCGGCTTGGTATACTGTCGCGAAAGTGTTAACGGAGGCAGGCACTCACATAACACATACGGATACAAACACACGCACACATAAATACATAAGTGGGTGCAATCGCGCCAAAGTAGGAAATGCCGTTTGTCCTCATATATTTTATATGTAACTGTGTATTTTACGTGAAAATTTATGTTTACATAAACAAATGTAATCTCATTCGCCATGCAGTAGCACAGTTCGCCTTTCAACTCTACCTACATACCTACAGATGAGCTTACATATATTACTTTGCGTGTTAACTGCGGCTAAATGTGCGTGCTTTGGCCGTTGGCCACTCATATTTGTAAGCTTGTCTGTGATTGCTTGGCGGTGCCTTGGTGTTGAAATAATTTACAATATTGTAATAAATTTTACTTAATTAACCGCACAGCTCGAAATAAGCTCATTTGCTTGTCGAACGAGTACCAAGTGCCCTACCTAACCCAACCCAGGCTGGTGCTTATTTTGTAAGTGGATGCGTGAGCAACACCTTCCTTTATTGAGGTAAGGCAATATATCGGAAATATAGATATGAATTTGGTGCATATGAGACTTATTAAATTGAATTTATGTATATATTTCTTTTAGCTTTTGCGATTGTGTTTATAGCGAAGCTTTTCGAAAACAATCCATAATTTTGATTTTATAAGCAGGAAAAATAATATTTTTACTACCGAAATCAATATATTGATTGAATATTCAAAGACGTTTTATATTAAAGGGTTATATGTAAGTATATAGTTAGAAGGACGAAAAAACCGAATTTTCCAGAATTTTTTGTAAGAAAACTGTTAAATTTATCGATTCAAAAATTTGTATACAAATTACGATATCTTTTAGTTGTATTTTAAGACTTAGTATTAGTAAGAATATATGAATGAAATGAAGGAATAAGCAAAATATATTAGTTGACAAAATGACGGTTTCTCAAAACTAAATCGATTTTTGACCAAAATTTCGGTCTTAAATAGATTATAAAAAATATTTATTTGTGAACAATATCGTCGACTAATTACTTAAACATTTATTTAAGAAGCTCTTACTAAAATTTTAGATTAATCGGTTTAGAAATATTGTTAGTCACCGATTTTGAAAACACCATTTTGAGAAAAACTCGTTTAACATTTGGCCTTGTACTTCCAAGCACTCTAAAACGTCTTTCCAAATTTGCATGTAACTTCGAAAATATTCACCGAAAAGATATGAAATTTTCTGTGCATATTCTTTACTGAAAGTACATTAAGAAAATAAAATAAAAATATCGATACTTTAAAAATTTTAACTGTATATATAACCCTCTAAAAAATGTACTTTGTTTTGATATGTCGCGTATTCCAGTTAGATCGTTCTATATCGACCGGATCAAATGGTAATCAAAAGGTACAAGGTTTGGACTATAAGGCGAGTGAAACAAAGCCTCTCAGTCGCTGTTTTCAAATAATTTTAACCGGTCTTGGATTATGACAGTCCGTCCGTAGCGAATCCCATACATTTTTTGAGAATCTATCAATTCAATTTGTTGAGGTATTACGGGTAGAGTTCCTAACTAATAGTTTCATCGGCTTTTAGAAGCTGTGTAAACTGACGTTGAACAATAGTGTACGAGGGCAAAACGAAATATTTCCTGTCATCAAACCAACAGTCAGCGCATTTGCGTTTTGGTTCCCACGTCACTGTCGATGGCTGTCGAAGTCGTAGATAATGTCGTCTAACTTGGAACCAGTATAAACAGCGACAACAATTTCAGCATCAAAATCCAACGTAAAATAAATCCTGCTAACTGGTGCTACTTCGAATTGAGTAGGGAATTGAGAAGTATGTAAAGTAATTTTTAGACTCGAGAGACCTTCTCTCTGTTGGAAAGACCGGGTCTACACTTGGAATCTTCAATTGGCAAA